GAGTGTGTGGGGGGTGCCCAAGGTCGGGGCCAACCACACCCCTCCAGGACTTCAAAGCTTAGAGGGTGAGTTGTGCATGGGGCTGGGCCAGGCACCCTGGGGGGTGGGGCCCCACCACCTCCGGGCCTTTTATATGGTTATTCCTGTCCTGTCTCAACTACCTGCGAACAGGCCCACCAGGCGCATTTCCTCCCTCTGTGGGCGGGTGGGCGGGATGGGTTGTAAACGCCCTGGGGGGTGGCTTCTGAGGCCAGCCAGGAGGCCTGCAGGCTCTGGGGGCTGGAGCTGGGGCTCCTGGGGTGATGCCCACCCTTGGCAGGTGAGGGAGGCCGTGTACCAGGTGCAGCAGCCCAGGCCGGTAGGCCCTTGGGAGGGAAGACCTCCCTTGGCTCAGTCTTTTGCATAGAAGGGAAACTGAGGCCCAGGCATGGGCGGGGCTCGCTCTTAAACAGGGTGAGTTGAAGGTTTTACCTCCCAGCCCCCTTCGCCTGTAAACTGGGCTGTGTTGTATGGCCCCAGGGGCTGCAGACCAGCGTGTCCCCATTCCTCAGAGGCACATCCAGGACCCCTTGTGGGGTCTGCCCTCTGTCTGTGCTAGGCCACAGTGGGGAAGAGGACAGCTGAGACCATCTTCACGGTGGTCCTTCACACCAGGCCTGCAAAGAAACCTTGGGCCCTGCACCCAGATACCCCCGAGTCTCCAGCAGGCTGTGTGTCCAGCACTGTCCCCTCTGGGCCTCAGCCTTGGAGACAGAGCCTGGGTGCTGGGGACCTCTCTGCCGACCTCAGCTTCAAGCCCCTAGGTGGCCCTGGCTGGGATCTGGGTGTGGGCTCCCGCCCCGGCCTACGCTGAGTCCTGAGGTCCCTGTGACCTGGCAGTTGTGCCCACGCTCTCGAGTCCTCTGCCTGCCCAGTCGCCTCCCGAGTCTTTCATCTGCAATGCCCCCCGCACTGGGGCCCAGTAGGTGCCAATTAGGGTGGCTCTGCCCTGGGTCCCAACTCAGAGGCACTGTGTCCGTGGGCTGGAGCTGACCAGGGGCTCCTGTGGGGCACCGCCCTCCCCTAAGGACTGACCTCTTATGGTTATTGCTCAGGAAGGCCTGGTGAGTTGAGCAGGCTTGGGGTGCCCCCACTGGTGAAGCGCCACGGGGCACAGGGGTCTGGTGCCCTTAGTCACTAGCTCCCTCAGGTAGAGGGCAGCACAGCGGCCCCCGGGGCTCTCCTGGGAATTCCAGTGCCCTGCCTGTGGAGGGTCAGGGCCGCCTGGAGCAGCGGGCGACCCGTCTGGGATGGGCCTTGCAGTCCCAGCCAGTGAAGCTGTGGCTGGGAGTGATATTGTGGTGCCCACCAGACCTCGGGGGTGCATGGAGGCTGATGCAGGGTTTGGGGATATGGGGGAGGGGGTGCTGGGCCTCCGGAGCCCTGGACCAGGTCCCTTCTCCTGTGGCCCTCACAGGCCCTGGCAGCTCTGTGCTCCCCTGGCTGGTTGCTCTGGAGAAGCACCCCTTCCCCACAATCACCCCCAGCAGCCACACTTCAGCCCTCAGCCCCTCCTAGGCCTGGCCTCCTTGACTGTCCTGGGGCGGGGGCCTCTGCTTCATGAGGCTGTGCGTGGCTGCTGTGGGCAGGGGTTTCACAGTGGCCAGGCCTGGACAGGAGTCCTGTGCAGTCAGCAGGGCTCTCTTGGCAGAGGGCTCTCTTGGCAGAGGGCAGTATGCTCTCCTGTTCCGGGGGTGCTGTGTGGCCTCGCTGCGCCCGCACCGTGAGGAGGCCCTGGGCATTGGGGGGGTGGACAGACCGTATGTGGTCAGAGAGGAGCAGGGCCCTTGCGGTGGCCAGGCTGGACCAGTAGCCTCAGGGAGGTGGATGGGGCACGGGACCATGGGGACCTGGGGAGTGAGGGCGCAGGTCTGGGAAGGCCAGGAGCAAGGGCACTAGCTTGAAAATGGCACCCAGAGAGGGCAGCCAGGCCTGGTGTGGCCTAGAGAGGATGTTCTGCTGGCCAGCCGTGTGGGTGCCTTGGGGCCAGGGTGTGCGGAGGGAGGTCAGCAGTCCCTCAGGCCCCTCTGCCCAGCCTGAGCTGCATGCCATGGCCCTGTGCCCTTGGGGGCTGGGATGGCAGGTGCCTTGCCTGGAGGGGTCCTGCCCCTGCCCAAGGCTGGCCCTTCTCTGGCTCTTGGGGCCTGGGGGTTGTGTTCCTATGGCCTCCAGGCCTAGGATGCTGGTGTACCTGTCCCACTCCTGGGGCCACTTTGACCCCCCCTTCTTACCACAGGGCATCCGGGGGGATGGCCAGCACCTCCTGTTCTCTGTAGGCCTGGCTCCCCACTGGAGGCATGCAAATGGCCTGAGCATGGAGGCTGTGCTGGGCACAGCCCTCAAGCAGGTGCGCTAGCTGCTCTTGGCCTCCCTGCCTCCATGGCTTCTTCCCTTGGCATTCACTGCCTTGAGGGTCTGGCTGGGCATCCAGGCAGGGCCCAGAGGTGGGCACAGGGACCAGGCAGGCATGGGAGGGCAGAGAGTGGAGCAGAGATCCTGGGTGGGGGTGGGATGGGAAAGGCATGGCCTTGAGACAGCCCTTGGGCCCCTGCTGCCTGTTTCCAGAGGGGCACCTAGCACCCCTAGTGAGGCCATGTGAAGGTTCCCATGGGCAGGATGGCTTGCCTGTTCCAGGGGCTCTTTCTGCCTTCCTCAGCTGGGGAAAGGAGATGGGGTCCCACAAGCAGGGCCACCGCTGTGCACAGCCCAGGAGGTGAGGATTCTGGAGGAACTCCTGATGGCCAGCCCCATTCCAAGGTCCTGCTGGGATCCAGCCAACCCCACACTTAGAGGCCACCGGCTACCAGGCCACTGTCCTCAAACCCAGAGAGTTGGGGGCACATCCATAGCTGGTGCTGGGGTGTCAGCCGAGTGAGTGTGGGCTCTGTGGGAGGGGAGATGGTGGGTGATCCGCTGCACTACTGACTCGCTGGGGGCTCAGTCAAGCCCCTTCCTATAGGGCTGCCTACTTGGGGCCTCAGGTGCCTGCTACTCTCCCCATCAGAGGCTCTACCCTGTTCCAGGCCTTGGTGCCAATGGCCCTTCCCTCATTTCCTCAGCTTGGCTATCCTCACTCCTTCCCCCTTCCAGGACTTCCAGCTGTGGAGATCATGGCCCCGGGGCCTCCCCCGGCCCCAGACCCAGGCCCTGAGCCCCTGAGTGGGCATCTTCTCTACTTTCTCAACACCATGCTGACCCACCACCAAAAATCCAGCCTACACCACAGCCTTGCTGGCTGGTTCCTCTTTCACTTTTCCCATTCTTTGAAACTCTCAAGCTATGACTAAATGTCTTTCATAGAAAGAAAAGAAAAAAAACCCAAACACAACACATCTATTCATCTAACTCCAGTGGACAGTGGATATAGCAGCATCAGATACATTACAACCAAAAACGCAGAATCTGAGGCAGAGGATGGCGGGGTCCCCTCTTCTGGGCTCTTGGGGCGCCCCGCCTGGTCGCGTCTCCTCCCGGCACCTTGAGGGTGGGAGCCGGTTCACAGTGGCAGAGGCTGAGAGGCGCTGGCCATACGGAGGCCAGGTATATGGGCTGGTTTGGTTCAGCGGCCTCCCATTCATTCTGGATGCATCAGGAGGGACCAGGCCATTGGCTCCAGGAAAGCGGACCCTTGCTCCAGTCCTGCCACAGGGGCTGGGAAGGAGGCCAGCCCATCTCAGGGCTGTGGGACCTTCGCGAGCAGCACAGTGGGGGGTTGATACCCCCAAACCTCCCGAACAGCCCCCAAATGAGACCAACAGCTCTGGGCAGCCTGGGGGGCTGGACCCCTCTTTCTATCTTTCCCTTATGAGGGGCTGTGGACAGACAGAGGAAAGGGAGGGATGGGACCGGAGGCTTCGATCTCTCCTGTAGCTGGATGGAGTGCAGGTGGGGAGACCCTAGGGCAGGGAGGAGGAGCCGGGCAGCTGCAAAGAAGGGGGGGCCGCTGAGCAACGCAGAGCCGGGCGGGACCTGGGGCGCAGCAGGCCGGCTCCCTGGGAGGAGGGCCCGCGGCGTGGGAGGCCGGGCAGGGCGGGCCTTTGTGAGAGGGCCGCGATCACTTGCCTCCACGAAGCCCCTGTCCTCTCCCAGGACTGAGCTTGGTCTTGGGGTTGGGGGCTGGCGGGGGGACGCTGCAGGTATCCCCAGCAGGGCTCCTGGTCGGGTGGGTGGTCGAAGGGGTGGCACAGGCCTCCGCGCGCCAGAAGCATTCCAAAGCCAGGCTCCTGGAGAGGGGCCCTCGGATCTCAGAGGCACGGGCTGGGGACCCGACTCGCTTCATGGGACATTCCCGCTCTACACAGGGGTGGATGGAACCTGACAGCGGGCTGGGGAGAAGGGGCCTGGTGGGCCCGGATTCCTGCAGTAGCCACGCCTTAACCAAGAGGGCGGCTCCCAGGGAAGAGTCCCGCCCACGGAGGGAAGCTCTGCCCCCATCGGAGCCTCGTCCCGGAGCCCCACCCACAGGGAGGAGCCTATGCAGGCCACGCCCACCAAGAGTCGCAGCCCGCGTGGAACGGGCAGCGCCCTGGTCAGAAGTTCTGCCCCATCCAGACAGGAGTCCCGCCCACCGTGGAGCGTTGCTCCCATGGAAGAGCTCCGCCCCCAGGGAGGAGCCCACCCAGACCCCGCCTCCTTCAGGAGACGCCCCACCTGCAGGTAGAAGCCCACCTGGTGCCCCGCCCACCAAGAGCCACGCCCCAATGGGAGGTGCCCTGTCCCCGCGGGAGAAGCCGTGTTCCCCCCCCAACCCGGAGAAGCCCCGACCCCAGGGAGAAGCCTATGCAGAGCCCCGTCCCATCCTGGAGCTCCACCTCCTTCAGGAGGAGCCCCAGCCCTCAGGGAGGAGTGTCGCCCCCAGGGAGGAGCCCTGCCCCAGCGAGGAGCCCCGCCCCCAGGGAAGAGCCCTGCCCCAGGGAGGAGCCCCGGCCCCAGGGAGGAGACCCAGCCCCAGGGAGAAGTGTCGCCCCCAGGGAGGAGCCCTGCCCCAGGGAGGAGCGTCAGCCCCACGGAGGAGCCCCGCCCCCAGGGAGGAGCCCCAGCCCCAGGGAGGAGCCCCGCCCCCAGGGAGGAACCCTAGCCCCAGGGAGGAGCGTGGCCCCCAGGGAGGAGCGGCCGCCCCCAGAGAGGAGCCCCGCCCCCAGGGAGGAGCGTCAGCCCCAGGGAGGAGCGTCAGCCCCAGGGAGGAGCGGCCGCCCCCAGGGAGGAGCCCCGGCCCCAGGGAGGAGCCCCAGCCCCAGGGAGGAGCGGCCGCCCCCAGGGAGGAGCCCCGGCCCCAGGGAGGAGCACCGCCCCCAGGGAGGAGCGCCGGCCCCAGGGAGGAGCGTCGCCCCCAGGGAGGAGCGCTGCCCGGTCCCGTCTGGTGGGAGTCCGGCTCCACCCAGGGAAAAGCGCACCCCAGGCAGGGCCCGCGCGGTCCGGGGGAGGCGCGGCCGGCGCCTACTTGCAGGTGTGCACGTCGTACACGCGCGTGCACTCCTGGCAGCTGACGTAGCAGCACCAGTGGAACACGCAGCGGCACTTCTCCCGGCGCCGCTCCGCGCGCGCGTTGTGGCCGCGGCCGCAGCACAGCAGGTCGCAGCCGTCGATGCCGTGGGAGCTGACGTTGCAGGTGCGGTCGCGCGTGCCGAAGGAGCCCGTCTCGGGGTTGGGCTCGCAGAAGTTGGGCGAGGCCTCGTAGTAGACCAGGTCGCGCTCCGTGGGCACCTTGAAGTAGGTGTAGCGCGGCCGCAGGGTCTCCACCCAGCCGCGGGACTCCCGGTGCTTCTCCACCACCATTTCCGAGGCGCTGTCATACTTGTCCTTGAGGAAGTCGCCGATGGCGCGGAAGTCGGGCTGCGACCACCAGCACGTCTTCACCTCGCAGCTGCCCGACAGCCCGTGGCACTTGCACTTGAGGTGCATGTGGCTGGAGATGGCCTGCGGGGCACGCGCAGGAGCCAGCGTCAGGGGTGCGACTCCCCGAGGAAACAGAGTTACATGTCGCCCGCAGCCCTCCTGCTCCATAAAGCCCCGGGCAGAGGGGCAGACTCCCAGACAAGGCCCCAGGGCCACCCTCTTCCTATGGTGCAGGTGCTGGTCCCTGCTCCCTTGCCAGACCCAAGCCTTCCCTGGTCAGGGCCTGGGGGGCTCCCCTCTCCGCGTCTCCTAGCTGAGTACGTGTACACCGTCTAGGGTGGAGTGAAGGAAGGACTGAGCTGCAGCGTGGATGCCATACACCAAGAGCCGCAGCAAAGTGCAGAGATGCAGGGGGCAAGGTGCTCCTTCTGACCCTGAGGACGCAGGCACCCTGCCCAGAGGACGTGTGCAGGCTGGGTGGAAAGGCAGGAGGCCTGAGCACGAGCAGTGAGGAAGCTGGTCACCGTATGGGGTTGCAGAAGAAGAGGAAGGCAGTGTGGGGACCTTTCCCCCTGCATTCCTGCTCTTTCATAATTTTGATACTGACTGCATTATTGAAATGATAGCATGTTGGTTATCCTGAGTTAAATCAAATTTAGTATTAAACTTGTTTCTGGCCAGGCATGTGGCTCACGCCTGTAATCCCAGCACTTTGGGAGGCTGAGGTGGGTGGATTACTTGAGGCGAAGCCCATGTCTACTAAAAATACAAAAGTTAGCTGGGCATCGTGGTGGGTGCCTGTGATTCCAGCTACATGGGAGGTAGAGGCAGGAGAATCACTTGAGCCAGGAGGTAGAGGTTGCAGCGAGCGGAGATTGCACCACTGCACTCCAGCCTGGGCTACAGGGCAAGAATCCGTCTCAAACAAAACAAAACCAAAAATGCTTGTTTTACCTGTTTACTCTTTAAATGTGGCTACTAGAAAATTTATAATGATCTATGTGTCTCTGTGGGACAAATTATAATAATCTACAAGCCACTTTTGGCTCCCATTCTACTTCTATTGGACAGTTCTAATCTAAGGCTTCTGCTGGGCTCTGCGTCCCAATCCTGCCTCCTCTTCGTCCCCTTCTGGCTCTTTCTTGAACTGCTCCCTCTGATATTGACTGTTTCCTATGGCATCTGCAGAGTAGCATACCCACCCCCACCATCCGTCTAGTTTATCTAATATCCATTTTATTTCCTCTTTTGTTTTACTTTTACTTTCGATCAAAGTTATATAGGGTGCATACTTTAAGGAGCCCAATAGTTTCCAAGACCTGCTTAGAGAAACAGCAATTCTGGTCCCACATGCAGCCTCTTGCAATGTCTACAACTCTAAGAACACGTTTGTTTTGACAGCTCTTGATTTTTCAGCATTAGGCATTATTTACTGGCTTCTCACCGTGGTGTGGTAGTTAGTTCTCTCTCCCTACTCCACCGCACTGATGCACACTCCAACCACCAACCCCTCCTGCCTAAAGCCTAGCTTAATTTCACATCAGTATTCACTGCTGGTGGTGTTGGGACTACGTTAAATGTCATACTTTGAGACAAGTGATACATTATGATTTTTCTTTTCCTAAACGACTTTTTGTAGTTGCTGTTATTAATGTACTGATTCAGCCTCAATCAGTACTTTTTTTTTTTTTTTTTTTT